TTGATTTCTTAATTTTGGGTTGGAAAAGTGGGGATCGTCTTATACATGGGGGCGTCTTATTGATGGAAAAATACGGGTAAATAGTATTTCCAATTAGGATCTCTGTGTTAATGTCAATACTGTATAGTTATTAGTAGTTGGATCTACTAATTGCAGTGAAGTGACAGAGTGAAAACTTGTTACTAATTGAAGCCCCACTGATTTCAGTAGTTACTGACTGTGATAGTCTAAGTTGTACACAACCTGTTAATGTTAAGAACATTTCAAAAGAAACATTATTCCTTTTCCCTTACAGTATGTAGGAAGGAATCTCTTCTAAATGTTACGATATCTGTGTTTGTGTTGTGTCATGTTTATACAAATGCCCGACATGATGAAATAAGGTGAAATAAGGTGAGGAAGAGGGCAGTGCTCCCTGCTTTCACTTCCCTTTTGATTTCAAAATTTGATCTGCTTCTGTCTGGAGCAGGAGATTTGGACATCAACTGAAATGATGAAGATTTCCATCTGGCTTACCTTTGGAGTGGTCAGTGTAAAAAATCCTGCTTTAGAGCAGAAAAGGGGGTCCAGAGTTATCCAGGTCCCATCCATTCACCTAACTGGGCTTTCCTTATAACACAGTTGACTTTCTTTTTCCAACCTCTTCTAGCTCCTGAGCGGCTTCAAAGACAAGGAACGCAGCACCATTGCTCAGAATGTCAAAGGGAAGAAGGTCTGGATTGGCATCAAGAAGCTCCTGATGTTAATTGAGATGTCATTGCAGGTAAAATGCTGACCCTTAGATTAGGTCAAGAAGTATATTGTGTGGCCCTCCAGAAGTTATTGGTTTGTGGTTAAGTGCTCCTTCATCATTTGCTATGTTGCCTAGGGTTGGCAAGAGCTGAAGAACATATTTGGAGGGTCACATCTGGTCCATCTCTGAGCTAGACATATAGGTTGCTTGGTCCCTGGTCAAGCCAGGATATTAAAGGAAGGCACTGGGCACTGGGAAAATAAAAAATAGGGTCTTACTTTTTAACTTCCGCTTAGGGATTAATTATGAAATACAGCCTCTCAGTTCTAAGGGTTCAGAGCAGTTGATGTCCCAGACAACTGCATAATGAACAGTCAGTTATGATGAAACCAAATAAAATATGGACCTAGAGTCCTACTTTCAGCTGTGTTTTAACAAGTGTTAAAATTAACACTGTATTGAAATGTCTTTTTTTTTTCTTCACATAGTAGATAGCAACTTGATTACAGTGGGGCAGAAGATGGCAATTTCCACTTAAAGGAGAGGCCACTTCTTTGCATATTACAACAGACCAGAGAAAAAGGCTTTCTTGTAAACATTTTGCAACTATTCAGTCTTCTCCAACCTGATGCCCTCCAAATTTATTGGGATTACAACTTCCAGGTTGCAGGACATTTTAGTTGATCATTGGCTTCTGTCATGTAAAAGGGAAAAAAAAGTGTTAAAATTATTCCCTTCCCACACACACATATTGAGAGGCAAAACTTTAGGGATCTAGTTTCTATTAGACTATGACAAATTGGTTTTATCATTCACATTTGCTGTATTAGACTACAGCTGATCAAAAGCCAGGTATATGAATCATCATAGTTTTTTTAAATTAATTTCATGCCATCTAGATTATTAGTGGCTACCTAAGACAATTCTCCAGCCCAGACAGATGAATCATTTTGTGAAGTGACCTGCTTCCCATTTTTTCATAAGAAGATAGTGAAATCCCAGCACTGCCCAAGAAACTTAGCCCATGAATCTAGTTAAAGTTTACAGCTCTTAGCTTGGGCATCAGTGTGCCAGTCAAATGGAAAATTGAGGTCAGGTATGCATTAATAGAAGGGATGCATACGGGCAATAGCATTAGTTATGATAGCTGGATAGAATCATGCGCAGAGGCAGCGCTCCTCTGAATGCTACAGACAGGCAGGATACAGCCATCCCTTTCTTCATTATGTTCTTTCTGTCTACTTCAAAGGTATCTAATTAGTCATAGTTCCACAATTCTAAATGTAGGACTCACCCCGTTAGCACTTTTTTTTCTGGGAATTTGTACCACATCGCTTGGGTGGTACACTTGTGGTCTAGAAAGCACTTGTTTCTAGACCCAAGCTCCAGACTAGGAAGTTCGGACTTTGCCAGAATGCTTGGAGAGTTGCTGCCATTCAAAGCTGATAGGCCTGGGCTACATGGAACAGTGAACTGGCTCCACGTGTTCCATTCCCACAATCTGCATCACCATTTCCTAAACAAGCTTCATTTAAACAAACGTGAGCTGGGTTGGCCTTTTCGCACCACTTTTATCCTGATCAAATTGAGAGATACTTGGCAATTGGTAGATGGTGCCATTAATCAGCAGCAGTGAGTGATTCTATAGCTTTCCAGGATTGGTGCCTGCTAATCAGCTGTGGCTGGTGTAACTATAAATGAAGACTTTCTGCCTCTTTCTCGGACAGCTTTTAAGTATAAGCCAAGAGGCATGCAATTCGTCACTGTGTATAAACGCTTCCCCACTCCCTTCGGAGTGACTTGTTCTTTGCAATTCTGTTGAAACTTGTATAAGGCTTGGGATCTGCTCTGACTGGATGTCACCTGAGGGTACAAAGTCATTTATCTAGATTACTTTTTCCTCTCTTTCCCTTGAGTCTTTAATTTCATACCTGCAGGCAAAAGTCAGTAAGTTATTGCTCACACCTATTAAAGTGTAATGAGCAGAGACCTGTACCATTTGACTCTGGCCTGGTGATGTCCAATTTCACTCTTTTTATTGCCTTAAGAAGGTCCCTCCTGGTTGGTTACTGGTCCTGCATCTTTAGTACCTTGAATTCCCACGATTTGATATTCAGAAGTGGGAAAGGATTGCAGGATGGAATGAGGGATGTGAATAAAAGACTGTGTTGTGTTCCTTCTTCCCTTTCTAGCTAACAAGCAAAAGGGGGCTGATTTGTGGAAAGGCAATTGTATTTGATTTTTTCCCCCTCATTCCTATTCTTTTATCAGACACACTCCTTAGCATTTTGAAACTGGATTTGAAATGAGGCAAAAATGAATAGTAGATCTGCACTCATGAGTGAGCTGGTACAGCGGCATGCTCTTTTTGCTTTAAGAAAGCTCAGTGCTAATTCTGTCTTCTGCCGGTGGCCAAGGAAACAAGGCAGCAAACAGAAGCTGTAGAATTGACATGGCTTCCAAATCCATGGGAGGAACCAGTAGGTGCTAGCCTGGTGTGTTTGCCATCAATCCATATCATAGCTTAGCATGCTGTATGAACTTATTTATTGCCTGCATACTCGTTATCTATTTTAGCAGCTACAAAGATCTGCATGGTTCAATATTTCAGCATGCAGAAATGTTCCTTTTGCAAATTCTTGGGCTGAGTGCAAGAATTACAGAATGGTCATATCTCTGCTTAGTGCTCTTTTCCTTAGAATATTGGATTAGCCCTCGGCAGCTCATTGACTGCCTTTGAGGCCAGTCACTGTTTCCTAGCATGAAATTGGGGGTGAGGGGAGTAGAAGTAGGAAGGCCATATACACTGACTTTGGTTCTTTAGGTAAAGGAAACCGTGATAAAACATTTTTTGGTCTAGTTGACCCTGTCTCTCTTATCTTTCCTCTTGTTCTTCACTGAATTTGTTGTGATCAGTTGGAGAGTGTTTGTGTATTAATTGTGTGTGTTTTTAATACATATAATACATGAAGATGGATCCTGAGTACCGTGTGAGAAAATTCCTGGCACTTCTACGAGAGGAAGGAGCGTAAGTAATAAAATAACTGTTAGGAATGTGTTTACCTAATCTGCGTGCATGCTTAAGAACTATTTATCGCTGGCCAAATAGGGATTTTGCAGGAGCACTTTTTGTAAATTTTGTTTTATGAAAGGATTTGTTATAATTCATGGCAGCTGTTGAATTATTCCATCCCAAAATCAGCCTGTACCATTGGTTAGGACTTTTCATGCTGTTGTGTTGACAGCTGATATTGCTATATACAGTATGTGTGTGTATATTAAAAGGGATGGAGTTTTTATGGCTCAAGCATGCATATGAACCATGCTTTGTATCTCCCAAAGTCTTATCCGTATGTATTTCAGGACTGGCTCTGATGACTCAGTTCTGTGGGAGAGGCACATTTTTGCCTGTTCTACAGTCCCAGCTTACACATTGTCTTGTACTCTAATTCCAGGCCACTTTCTGTCACCAACTGATTCAAACTCAGATGCAACGCTTCATGCTCAAAAGTGTGTTAAGAAATATGCTATATTTCTTCTGGCTTCTGTCTTTTCTCTGAACATGTAAAACTAGCACATCAAGGAGCAAGCAAAGCTAACAGCTTGTCTCCATGACATGCTGGTTTCTAGTAGACAGGGTTTTTGGTGGAAGAAAATTTACACTAATGTGGATTCTCCTTACATGTGAATTTGTGTACCCACATGAAACATAATCACCCAAGGGATAATATTTGAGACATTTGTGGATGTCGAGACTGTTTCTCTTCTAGTTAGATCTATTCAGGTCTAGTAGGAGGGATGGTACCTACATTTGGGTTGATGAGTCTATAGTTTAATCCTTTCGTGACTTCTAGGAGCAGAGATTGTGCCAGTGCATTAAAATGCTAGTTCATTTGTTTAGCAAATGAGCTCCAGGCGACCCTCATTCAGGTGACCTCCTAATGCTGGGATGAAATAGAATTCACTTCTCTTAACCAGCATGTTAGGGAAACAGCTTTTAGCTTTGCCATTTTCCCGCAGCCTGTCGTAATGCAGAGTCAGAGTACAACCCTCTTTTTTTTTCAGCTATTGAGAATAATGTCTGGGGCACAACTGGCCTGTGAATTTGCATGCAGTTCCCCTCTTTGGATGCTCATCTCAGTGTGCCACCACCCATCCCCCCAAGATCCGCCTGCTCCTTGTGGCTGTTGCACTCTCTCTCTTTGCAGTAGTCCACTGGATTTAGAGTGAAGCCTGAACCTTGTTAAAAGCTGGTGGCCTGGAAAACAGCCAAGCAGGAGACTGCCCCTCTACGATCTTCTTCCATGTGGCACATTTGGACAACTGCATAATGTTCAGTTCTCTTCAGAGACTCTCCTGAACTACTACTTTTTTTCTTTCTTTCTTTTTCTTTTTTTGCATGTCAGACGCAACTAAGTACTCTACCCTTGTCTTTGATATCCTGGTGTATTGTGGCAAATCAAACCTCTTCTAGAGTAACTGCTTTGGTGTTATGATACAGTAACTGATTGATACTGGTGCACAAGCAGAGGAGTAGAAATGTGCCATGTACAGACCGATAGACATTAATGCTGAAGCTCAGGCATAACATGTGGGAAAGTCTCTCCATTCTTAGCCTACACCAATCCAGTGTGAAAGCCAGTAACCATTTGCACAGTTATAAACACTTGGTGATGGTTTCTCCCACCCCAGTCTTGTTAAGTAGTTGCTTGTTCTTGTAGATTTGTCCCACATTGTGGAGTTTCAGCCTCCTCTCAAGAAAAACAAATGATACCTGAGGTGTTTAGTGCTGCCTGTGGTTTCTGATGAGCTAGGATCCAGGAGCTGCTTTCTGCCTTGATTTTAGGCAAGATTAGCTGCTGTGCCCACAAGCCCTCATCAGCATTTGCAGTGGCTCAGTTAGCTGATGTCCAATAGAATTTGACTGCCAGCTACAGAAGTGACAGTGAGATGTCTGACATACTTACACTATGAACAGATAGCAGGCTGCACCTGATTCCCATAACATGTTGAGAATATTCTTCTACCTTTGGTCACAATGGCCCTTACCTGCTACAATCTGCCCTCTTTTAAGGGAATGTTGCACAGAATTACTTTAAGAGATCAGCCCTGCCGCAGTCACAGTTTGTATGTGTAGGATGTTTGAGCTCATGCTGGATCTTTCTCCCACTGCCACTTCTCAGGTAGCTTACTGGCCCTTCAGTCAACTGTCCAGCAATTAATCTCAGGCACTGTGGTCTCTGCTGTTGGCCTCTTGCTTTGTATAGTAGAAATTAGGGGAAAGCTTAATTGGCCTTTTCCAGAGGTAATTTCCTGTGATTTCTGCTGAGCGGTGCAGTATTGAATCAGAGAGAGCGATAGGTTGCCGCTTGGGCATGCTTGATCACATATTTCTTATCATTCCACCCTTGTTTGGGGAAAAGCACGCTGACCAACTTCCTAAAGAATGTAGTACGTACTTAAATTAGAACCAGTCTGCCATTGCACCTATCCCTATGCTAAGTATATCACACCTTATTCTTGCCCATCACAATTATGAGTTTGTTCACAACTCTTGCCAGTGGGAGTTGTCTAGCGTGGGGAGTGAGGAAACTACAGGAGGAGTAGGATGCAGCTGGGATTAAAGTCTTCTAAATTGGGGTTCCTCAACCTTGGCAACTTTAAGACGGGTGGACTTCAACTCCCAGAATTCCCCAGTCAGCCTTGGTGGCTGGGG